CTGAGGTGGAAGGATCGCTGGAGCCCAGCAGGTCGAGGCTGCAGTGACCGGGAGCGGCCATTCTTCATGTGATGCAATACACCTACTAATAAGCTTATTCTACGACTCAAAACAGTTTTTGAACTCCTCGATTTGGCTGCCTTTCATGCACCTGCTGTTTTTTGTTTCACCTCTTCCACATTGGTAGAACTTTTCCCTTTGGGAACTCTCTTCATTGGGGAAACAGAGAAAGTCGTTTGGGGCAAGATCAGGTGAGTAGGTAGGGTGGATTGCCGGAGTCATGCTGTTTTTAGTCAAAAACTGCTGAATACTCAGCACAGTGGGGGCAGATATGCCATCATGAAATGGGCAAATGTGTTGAAAGAGTCTCCAAAAAAATTTTACTGAAGCCTTTCACACCCTTTCACAACAATGCTAGCTGGTACACTGATGCTGATGGGTTCCTAGAACACTTACCTATCAGGAAAAGCCTTTACTACAAGGGGCTTGCCCTCCAAAAAAGATAATTCCAGGTTTTGGGGGGTACCCCATTGTAAAAAAAGAAAAAAAGACTAAACCATGGACCTCCAAAAATAAGACACGGAGTTCACTGGAATGGCTATCCTTTCAAAGAATGTAAGGTATTACACATTCACAAAACTTTGCAGTAAAACATAGCACAAATGAATGACCACAGAATGTCAGCGTTTAGGAATCACACAAAGTAGCACCTGTCTAAATGCAGAGAGGCGAATTAGTTTGCAAAATGTAAAATGCAATAGGAAATTGCATTTTACTCACATAAGGAATTCATGAGGGTTAAGAGCCAGAAGCATCTGATGATCACAGGCTTAAGTTGCTAGAGGGACTCAGAAAAAGATAAAGGGGTTCAATTTTATAGAATATCTTTTTTTTTATGAAATGAGGGATCCATTATCTTATATAATCAATAGCTGAATATTCATCCATCCATTTGTTCATGCATTTATTCATTCATTTGCTAAAGTAGACACTCTAAAATATCTACTGGGCCAAAACTTGCGCTAAATCCTAGGTATTTGTGGCACTTTCAATCAGTATTTTTCCTTCTGCCTGGTTTTTAGATTTTGTGAACAAATCCAGGGCATGGTATCCCAGTATATTTCAAAGAATTTTATATTAAATATGCTTCAGGAACCATAATCAGGTCATTAATTATGGCATAGTTTGAAGTTTTCATCCATTAATCCAAAGAAGAGTTCACCTAGGAGTATTTCCTTTGATGCTCAGAATCTCATTTTTTGGCTCAAGATGTCTTTTGTATACCACATGCCTAGTGAAGTATGAACAAGGCTCAGTCAACAGTAAACTGCCTTCACGATCAAAGAAGCACTTATATTTCTGCAAATTGTGTCTCCGAAAGTTGTAAGGTTCTTGCTGTCCTTGTTGAAAAGTGTATCCATTGTGACACAGACATATATTCTGAGTTTTCTCAAAGGATAGTGGAGAATGGACCTCTGCATCCCACGTCCCTGCCTGGGCCCATCAGTTAGTGTTGCTTGTATAAACTCTCAATTCTACCCTGGTGCTAACATAATTCTACTTCAGTGGTCTAGAGTTCTACCAACTAGCTCTAAGACATCCAAAATTATTTAGTTCAGCATTTCGTTCTGCACAGCATGACAACATGATTTTCTGATGGTAACAGAGAGGGAACTACTCAGGAAACAAATCAAACATATGTCAAGATGCCAATATCCTGAATATATTTATTCATGTTTGTATTTGTGGATGGAAAAATTTCTTCCATGCTATGAAGCTTAGTTAAAAACAAGTTGTTACAAATCAATAAATAATAACTATAACTATTATCTAGTGCAGACAGAATAAACAGATGCAACTACTTTGCTATACACAAGACTTTACATTTCTTGTTATAAAACTGACACACAAGCCATCATTTTCCTTTCTTTGTAGTATTTTCCCTTGAGATTTAATTATTTATTGCACAATACTTTGTACTTGTCTTACCAGTTTCAGCTTTGTAGCACACCAGGGAATTACAAACACTTCCACTTAGAACATTTTTCTACCAAATAGGGCTTATTTTCTGCTATTAGTTCATTTATATATTACAAACCAAAAAAAAAGCAAAGGACAAACATGATTGTGTGAGTGTGTGTTTGTGTGTGTGTGCGCGCGCTTCAAGCTGGGAATACTGAGTGGTATGAAACGCTTTCGCCTGTCTGGGCATCAAAATCATACACAGGCGTCATTAAAAACTCACTTAGCTAACAGCAGGGGAATCACTGGGCACTGGGATGGTTATTCAAAGACTAGGCAAACAGAATTCCCCAATGCTGTTTCCATTCGGGTTCTCCAACTCGAACGCTTCTAGCTGACGATACTCAAAAGTCACGCGATTGATGTGCCTTCCACTGGAGACCAAGCGCACCACGGTGTTGTCACAGCCAACTTTCATTTGGGCTATAATTGATGGAAAAAATAAAGGTTATAAGCCAACAGGTTAGAAACTACACGATCAAACCGTTTCTGTTAACCAGGTATTTTATTTACTTTTTTACATTTTTGAGTGGAGGTCTTGCTCTGTTGCCCAGGCTGGAGTGTAGTGGCCGTCACTGCTCACCACAGTCCCAACTTCCTGGACTCAGGTGATCCTTCTGCCTCAGTCTCCAGAGCAGCTAGGACTACAGGAGTGCACCACCATGCCTGACTAATTTTTATTATCATTTTGTAAAGACAAAGTCTCGCTATTTTATCCAGGCTGTTCTCCAGCTCCTGGGTTCAAGCAATCCACCTGCCTCGGCCTCCCAAAGTGCTGGTATCACAGGTGTGAGCCACCATACCCAGCCTTGACCAGTTAACTGAAATGCAGCAAAAGCCAGGGGAAATGCAGCAAAAGCCAGGGGATGTATCTTCCTCTCACCTACTCAAACCATGCATCTTCTATCAGGTGAAACATTTTAGTTCTCATTTTTACTATAATTTGTAAGTAATTCTATAATAATGTAATTGAACTCAGCCTTTGGCCTTATGCGCAACACCTCTGTTGGACAAATAAAACTGACTGGAAAGAGGCAAGAAGTGTCTTCTGGCCCTGTTTGCCTGTAAAGCTTGGGCGGTAAAGACAGGCCTAGGCGATGGGTCCATCGAGAAGGCGCCGTTGCTCTGGCTGTGGGTTTGCAGGAGCGGCAGTACCGCCCTCTAGGGACAGGTCGGAAATCTGCAGGGGCAGTTCTGGGTTGTCACAGCATGGAGGTTGCAAGTGGCATTTCGTGGGCAGGAGCCAGAGGACAGAAGGCACTGCTAGACACTTATGAAGACAAGAAAAATCATCTGCGTTTATTGTTTTCTGAGTTTAGATTAAAACTCCGTTTTACTCATAAATTAATCATTTGCATGGTGTCAATATACACGGAATATACTAGTTTTCATCCTGTTACCCACCTGTACGCTCACGACCACCACAGCCTCAACTTGCTGGGATCACCTCCACCCAGTCTTCCAAGTAGTTGGAATGACAAGAGCACGCCACCACACCCGGGTGCTTTACCTTTGCTCTCTCACTTTTCTGTGCTTCTTTGTGAAACAGCTTCTGATGCCCTCACTACTCTGAAATCTAATCTTATTTGTTATGGGTGTAAGCATCTGACAAGCTTTAAATCGCATCTAACACAGGTGTGCCTGGGCAGTTATATATTGAAACTTATATTATTGTTATTAAAAATTACTTTCCAGGTTGGGTGCAAAAGCTCACACCTACAACCCCAGCACTTTGGGAGACCGAGGTGAGAGGACTGCCTGAGCCCACAGGTTTGAGATCAGCCTGGGCAACTTGGCAAGACCTCATCTCCACAATAGATTTTTAAAAATTACCTGGGTGTGGTGGCAGCTACTTGGAAGGCTGAAGCGGAAGGATCGCCTGAGCCCAGCAGGTCCAGGCTGCGGTGGCTGTGAGCATGCCACTGCACTCCAGCCTGGGTGATGGAAACTCCGACTCAAAAAAAAAAAAAATTACTTTCCTTTTATTTATCCAGCTTCAAGCTGGTTCCTGAGGTAAGATTTATCTTCCCCACAATAGTTTTTCTGCTGTTTTAATTTTCTCAATCTATTTTTTCCTCACTTTGTCTCTATCAGGCATTTTTAAATTCTGAGAAATGCTAGCATTATCATAACATAACAAGGACCTCACAAACGAGTACCTGGGTTTAAATGAAGTAAAACAATTCAGTACAGTTATTGAGGAAAAAGCCAATTTTAAGACATAATAAATATAAGGCCTATAAATATTTTAATATAATTACCGGGGAATCTGAGTTAAGCTTCTACCAGGAGGTCCAAATTTATTTTTCTTTAAATAGTTTGAAGTTTCATTCTTTTTTATCTTAATCTGAACTTTAATCTGTATAGCAAGTCCTGTTTTCTTTACTTAACATGCATATGAATTATGTATGATTTTGACATAATTCCTAATTAAATCCAATTTGAAGGGCAGACTCTAATAATTTGACATTGTCTGAATGACTTGGGAGGGGCTTGTGGAAACGGTGAATGAAAAAAAAATGAAGTCTAAAATGAACCAAAGAGTTATATAGCTGGGCATCGTGGCTCACGCCCATAAACCCAGCACTTTGGGAGGCAGAGGCGAGAGGACTGCCTGAGCCCAGGGGTTCAAGACTAGCCTGGGAAACCTGGTGAGACCTCGTCTCTACAATAAATAAAAAAAATTAGCCAGGCATGGTGCTGTGTGCCTATAGTTCTAGCTACTTGGAAGGCTGAGGTGGAAGGATTGCCTGAGCCCAGCAGGTTGAGGCTGCGGTGGCCGTGGAGCATACATTCCAGCCTGGGTGACAGAGAGACTCCAACTAAAAAAAAAAGAAAAAGTTACATAATTCAAGCCTTAAAGTTGTCTTAAAACTGGTTTCAATTATCTAGGTAATTTAGGCAAAAGTAGGTTTTGGCCTTCTTCTCAACCTCCTGCCTAATTCAAGTTGTATTATTCCAAGCAGAAAGTTGACCCTGGCTTCACTGATCTGAAATTCAAATCTTTGCTGTCTTTTAGTGTTTGACTCTTCTTGTTCCCCAGCTTAAACACATCTCCTCTAAAGTGCTCGCCCGTCACCAGCACGGAGGCCATTCTGTGCCTCAGACAGTGCAGACAACAGGCTATAGAGGTTGCAGACACAGACAGGGTCACCTAGGGCTCAAATGTCAAGTAGCATAAAAGAATCCTCTGGTTTCTAGCATACTGGAATTTTAGAAATCTTTTCCTTTACCTGGATTAGAAAGCTTGCCTTGAGCCCAGGCCTACTTTTAATCTTATCTGAAACTTTTAAAATGCAGATGCACCTAGGGAAAGGACATATCAGACTTTAGAGCACACCTGCGTACAGTCTGTGCTTGATGTCCTGGGGGACTGGTTCTGGGACTTCCCAACAGCCGCAAATACTCAAGTCCCTTGTATAAAATGTCTATATATTCTTTTCAACCTACACACATCCTCCAGTATACTTTAAGACATCTATAGATTACTTACAATACCTAATACAATGTAAAAGCTACGTACATTTTTACTATACTGTATTGATTTTTACTAGTATTCTTTTCCATTGTTGTATTGGCTTTTTTCTGAGTATTTTCTAACCTCCATTGCACGAATCAATGGATAGGGAATGCACAGATAAGAAGGGCTGACTATATGTTAACTGTTTCTCAAATGTTTTATTCCTTAAGGTCCAGCATCACTCAGAGAGAGAAAATATGAATGGGTCGACTGGATTTAATTATAAAGGTAACAGTTAATCAAAAGGACAGTCTGCTTTGCAGCTTCATTACCTTGTTGGCTAACGATCTCTGGTGACAAGAGAGGAAGAAGGCTAAGGTAAGGACTAACTTTGGGATTGGAGGCTGGTGTCCTACCTCTTCTGTTTTACTTTTGTCTCTTTAAGATAGCCTAAGATTCCCGCATCTGAAGTCGAGATGTGGAAGTGGCCTTTACAGGACTGTTTTCTGGACGTCTCCTCCCACTCCCAGACTCTATAGATTCGTTTGGTCAGGAGGTCAGTAACTTCTACCCATCCTCATCCCATCCAAGTGCAATCAAGTGAAAAATCCTTACTGGTCCCTGACAGGGAAGACCAAACTCTGTTTGTCATGCTGCATACTAAGCCCGTCTTTCATTACCGGTGACCACTTTCAGATTTCAGATTTCAGCTCTATGTTGCAGTGGCCTTTGAGGGGCTGGTTTATATCTTAGAAGTAGGAGACAATCTGCAGTTCTAAGAATTTCTAATAAAGCTGATCACTTTGTTGTTAATTTACTATGAGTAAAACACACATATGGAAAACTTAGCTATGATTTCATTATTATACTATTACCAATTGATAATAAATCTATATTTGAACCATTTTTTTTCATCAAATATATAAACACTTTCATCTCTAGAAAATGAAAGCAGGGACTCCCAAGATGGAAAGAACACAGAATTTAAAAACATTGTCTTTTTGTAGTTTTGTGTGGGGCCAACCTTAAACACACATCCTAATTGCTTCATAGATTTTTCTCCCAATGCCAGATAGTTTAGTAATAGATTTTGATACTATATGTAGGATCAAAAGTAAATTCTTCATACTGGCTGGTTGTACAAAATGAAGTTTTTTGTTTTTTGGTTTTTTTTATGAAACTCATCTTCCAATGTTTAAAAAACTGGAGATGCTTTATTTTTTAAAATCTTGTTAGGCATGTAAGTAATAATCAAAGAGTATCTCACCAGAGCCGTGAAAGGGGTAGCAGAGGTCAGCTAACAGCATCATCTTGGAAGGGTCTAATCCAGTTCCTCCCAGCAGCTCCACAAAATCTCCTACGCCCCCACAACCTGCTGAGGGTTTCTGAGGGAAAAAAGCAGAGGAGAAAGACACATCTAAACCAACCACAAAAGCCACGCCATTTGACCAATGGCGGGTCGGTGAGCTCTCTGAATCAGCCCCAAATATCCTGGCAGTGCCATTTAACATTCGGACTCAGGAAATTAAAAGACATTTTTAACAAAAATTGTAAGAATTGCTTTGCTAAATCAGTTGAGTAATCACTTTTTAATAAAGATGTGAACATCCTTTTCATTTTTTTAAAAGCTTTAGGACTGGAATGATGAAATGGGAATCTGTAAACTTCACATGAGATGTATGAAAATTGAACCTGAAAATGCTTTGCATTTCAAACCATTTGGCCACACATCCTGAAATACTTGAACTTCTTAATGCAAAGTTCAACCAAGTCAAATATCTGCATTTTATAAATAGGGCTTTCACATAAGTTTTTCCTTCACATCACCTCTTCTTTGCAAAGGAATTTTTCTGCTATTGGAACACATAGTTTCTACCAATAAGAACTTGGGTTAATTATGAGTATATTAAAGAATAAAATTCTGATTTGGGTCCCAAGTTAGCTAGAGTTACCACCATCTTTTGTCTTTCAACTAAAACAAATTTATTTCAAGGTAATCGAAAGAAGCATTGATTCTAAGACTTTGGGTGGTCCACTGTGATCACCTGTTTTTGCTTTCCTTCATCCTTTCCACGCAGCCTGTCCAATTCCCATGCCTCACTTTCCCACACAACCGAAGCAGCCTTTCTCTGTCCCAGACGCGCTTTGGGCCACCATCTCCCATGATCAGGGCTGACCTTGTGGGTGTGCCAGGGGGGGCAGCTGCATAAAGCCAGTGAGAAGGGTCCTGTTCTTCGTTCTCTGGTGCATTCTTCCTACATTAGTCACAAGGGTGCCCACATTTTCACTTGTACTGGCCCCCAGAATTTGTGTAGCCAGTTTTGCCTGCAATCCTCATCTTCACTGAGGTATGTTCATTAAGAGATGCAGTGGAATGAGACAAGCTGCTCAGAAGTTAACCAGATACACCCAACACTTAGGAACCAAAGTCTAAAACAGAGAACTTGAGGTCGGGCACAGTGGCTCATGCCTATAATCCTAGCACTTTGGGAGGCTGAGGTGAGAGGATTGCCTGAGACCAGCCTGGGCAACTTAGTGAGACTTCGTCTCTACAATAAATCAAAAACAAGCCAGGCGTGGTGGCGCGCACCTGTAGTTCCAGCTACTTGGAAGGCTGAGGCAGAAGGATGGCCCGAGCCCAGCAGGTCGAGGCTGTGGTGGCCGTGAGCGTGCCATTGCCCTCTAGCCTGGGTGACAGAGTGAGACTCCAACTCAAATAAATAAAGTAAAAGAGAACTTGAAACACACACACATATATAAACCCACACATTCAGACATCTAGAAGGACAATGAAATATGACTGGAGCCAAACACAAGTAAGAAAACAATAGAATGGCAGCTGGTGGCTCATGAAGTGCACCCA